TAAGCGAATAGTCAGAGAGGTGGAGAGCGTTCACTGGATTTTAGCGATGAAAAAATCGGCTCTGAGGGACTACTGAACGGGAAAAACAAAATTTGGAGGGATGCATTTGATAATTCGGTGCTTTACTGTTCGAAGCGAGATTGGATTGCCTTGGAACGCGTCGTAATGAAGCGAGAATCAGTGAAGAGTAAAAATGATGCACATGTTGTGGCGAAGGTAAAGCAACGACGAAAGCTTGCTTTTATCGAATGCGGAGATATTCACACGCAGGTGTATGTTTGTTTTGGCACAAGCCTGCATGGAGCTTTGGGTTGTAGATACGCCCTGAAACGCCCGAGATAGAAATAAGAGGCGATTAGAGTATTGCTGGCAGAAAACGAGAAAAAAGGATAAAAATGAATGTTAAAAAAGGACATTCTGCCGTAAGCGACAGAAAATGGGGTGGTGAAATTTTTCATTTTTTTGTAATACCAAGTTAATCGAAGTAGAAACGTCAGACAAGGTCCAACATGAAAAGAAAATGGAAAAAAAAGACCCTTTTTTTTGTGAAGCCTTATGCGCACATGCCACCGTCTTGTTATTAAGAGGACGCTCATAGCTTCATTCGTCTAACCATTCATTCATCCATCCATCCATCCATTTATCCATATGCGTTGTTTACTTACGTACAAAACATGTATTTATTGCTACAAACGGCAAATTCCGACTCCTTTCTGCCAAAAACCACTGCCGAGTGGAACTGCCTTCCCTCCTCCATCGCCTGCATTGAAGACGCATTATCATTCAAAACTGCACTGACAGATTATGTTATGCGCCCTAAATACCTTTTTGTTGTTAAACATGTATTCTCACTGACTTGTATCTTTATGTTCTACTTTTACTGCATTTTTGTTGTATTACCCACCCCCTCTGTGACTCTTTTATGTGCCCTGAGGGTAATCGAAATAAATAAATAAGCAAGTTAACATAGCAGCCTAATCTATCAGTCTATAGCTCGACATGACTCCTTATAGCTTTTCTACACTCAGCTGGGACTTCCTCTAGAAGGACCGTTCTGTCACTCTGTAACACCATATATTGTTGGTCATCTCTCCAGTCATCTCGTGATCCGTCGATTTCAGCTCGTTTCCTCTCGACCTTAGCAAAGGAAATGTAACCGGCGATATAACTTCATCGTGTACTTTACGAAGCGAAGGCAGCGACAAGGAAGGATATCGTTAAGGACGCTGCGTTTACACTGATGGGATATACACGTGAACGTGACGCCAAGCAGGAAATCGGCAAAGCGCACATCATATTCACGCTGGCATACGAGGAAACAGTGCGAGACAAATCCTACCCGCGAGCGACGTCCGTCAGTACCAAAATATGTACAAAATTTCCTTGATATTCGGGCCGACCTTACTGTGCTACCTAGACGCCGACTTCGGCAATAATACTTGCGCAGACCTTGGTCTCATCGGTGACGTACTACGTTGGTTAATTTACATACCCACCCCAGGAAGGGCTTGATGAGCGCGTTTGTGGCAGCCGGCGTACACACTAATAAATGTTGGTTCAGAATGTTGCGTGCTTACGAAAGAGATGGACATACTGATTTATGGGTCGTTAGACATCGTTATAATTATTACCGTCATATTTGTCATAACGTATGATCACTTTAAGGACAAGAGATTGTGTGCTGTAAACCTTTCATTGTTTGTATAACTTTGTAAAATTTTTGTATTTCTATGATCTGCCAATGTACTTGTGTATTCAGCTGTTTTGTTTCATACCTTTTTTATTATTTCTTGCTGTGTACCCACTCCTGCGATAGCCCCATAACGGGGCTGCAGTATTTGAAAATAAATAAATAAATAAAAGTCTCCGTAGCATCGCAGCGATCTCCCAAAATGCGTCGAAGGTATTCTTAATACCTATCTGCGCACTGGATACGGTATCTGACTAGGGTAACGACATCTTTTTTTTAGTTGAGTTATGAATATTTTTTTCTTTTCAAAAACGGATTCGTGTATTATCGGCATCTATATTTGAACCTGACATATTGTACCGATGCTCTTTTCTAATTATACAACATTATCATGCACGTGAAATTTCTGTAAGTAACTTTAGAAACGTGCATTGTATTGTCACGGTGTCGCCTATCTTACAAATGCATGCGTATCATGGACCATATTTAACAACCAAACGAGTTCTATGGTGAACGCATATGTGTGAAAAAGGATCCTGTTTCGGTCGTTTGACAATCCTATTAATTCCTGTCGACATATATGCCAAAATCGGAATATATTCGTTTAACAGCCGAAAATGGCGGCGCTCATATGTGTCCGAAGGAGACGGAGAGAAAGATAGAGAGAGTGAAAGGCAGAGAGGTTGGACTGAATGGTAGTATAGATATGCTCTAGCGTGATACTCTATTCCGGAGGAGTAAAATCTGAGAAGGAAGGAGAGTAATGTAAGTTGGCGAAATGAGCGTGCACAGTCCCGTCAAGTTCGCGCGAAAAATTCAAGTATAAACGAGGAACGAAAGCGGGAACCACCCCGTACAGCGCGCTCTTTTAATTCTATTTCCTTGAGTATCACCCATGATTTCGCGAGAACGATTTCTGCACCCTTTATTTCCCTTTCGGTTGACCTCTAATCCTCCGTAGCCTACAGCAAAAATGTACACGTTTCGGGTTCGTGTCTCTTTAGTATTCGTTTACTTTACGCCACCGCCATAGGCATGCGCAAAGTTTAAAGTGAGAGAGAGTGTGTGGGGGGTGAGCAAAGATTAATCGCAGCGCCCCCTACTCACCTCCCCTGTTGTTGGTAAAGACAGACAACATGCTTTCCAATATATCACGCAGTGGCGTTGCCAGTAGATATCACACTAGTCCCGTGCCCCCCCCCCCCCCCCCCCCCTCCCTTTTTTTTTCCAAGGCATATACGGCACAAATGACACTCAGTCACATCTGCGTACCCGGGGACACCACTTAGAATCGTAAAAGTAACCCCCCCCCCCCCCCCCCCCCCCCCCCCCCCTTCGAGAAAAATTTCTGCCAGCTGACGTCGAGTTAACTCGCGCGCCTTTTGTGGACAAAATAAAGTTTTCACTACCTCACTCCCTCACTATACACCTCTGATATGACCCGCAGGGCGCGGGTTCGAATCCCGGCTGCGGCGGCTGCATTTCCGATGGAGGCGGAAATGTTGTAGGCCCGTGTACTCAGATTTGGGTGCACGTTAAAGAACCCCAGGTGGTCTAAATTTCCGGAGCCCTCCACTACGGCGTCTCTCATAATCATGTAGTGGTTTTGGGACGTTAAACCCCACATATCAATCAATCAATCACCTCTGATATGCAGATAATAAAAGTGAGCTGTTCGTACGTGCTGCTCACCACGACGTGCCTTTGGTCCCAGACTTTCCCGAAGTAAAGACGAGAAGTGAAGAGTTCCCGCAATGCAACATCAGGGAGCCTTCGGCAACCGTTATCACAGAAAGCCTGCGTGGTCGTAACATACTAAACGTATACATGGGGCAAGCGTTGGCCCCCATCTAGGTTATTAAGCCACGCGGGGGGCACGATTACCTCGAGGGCAAATGGTATAATGTACCATGGTCGCCGCCACGCCACCAACTATCGAACCTCTTCAATCAGCACAGGCTCGGCTCGGGAACGACTCTGCGGAAACATGAAGCGTGCAATGAAGCAATAATGCGAAGACGTTCTCGGGTGCGGCTGCAGTGCAAGCATCTTTTTACAGGATCGCGCGGGGAACATTTGCACGGGCCGATGGCGCCGATAACGAAGACGTGTCCCCTTCTTGCCTGTGTTCCTGCTATCTTTCCTTCCTTCCTTCGTCATTTCTTTCTTTTTTCCTGCCTTGCCCTTCCGGGTGGAAGCGACTGAAGAGGAAGCTCCCGGTTAAACGTATACGTGAAGACGCCTATACGCCGCGCACGTCTTCAGCGCGGCATGCTCGTTCCTGCGGATGCATTGCGCGCGTTCGAGCACGTCGGGGGCGTGTATGCGTGTTCGACTTAATCGCGCGTCGAGTGAAAGGCCGATGGTGACGTTTCGATAGACGAGGTCGATGTTTTCGCGCCATCGGGTGCAGTTCGAAACGCTTTTTTTTTTCTACGCTTGTCTGTCGTGCATATAGGTCTCGCCTTTGCAATCGTGCACGCTGGTCTCACTTTTCAGTTTGTCGACGATTACTTTTACACTATTCACCTCTTGTATTTGTCTTTTACGCCCCTCGTCCAACAAAAAAAATTGGTACTGTGATGCATGTGATATATTACCTATACCAGCCCGATCTCGCACTTAGTTTCAATAAATCTAATAAACAATAAATATAATAAATAATATAGATAATAAATAAATAACACTTATCTGTATCGTTTTTCTGCAGAGTGCATTCTAACCATTTTTCTTTTAAAACCTCTTTTAGTTCACGTGATACGGCTATCGCATATCATTTTTTTTTTGTACACAGAAATACGGTCATATTTTTCTGCAATTGGTTTCTGCATACCAGTGCTTGATAAGTTGCAATTGTGGTTTACATTTTGTTTGTCTGGAGCGTTCTTTTGTTTTGTTTTGTTTTCTTTTTTATTGACACGAGTGTTGTATCTCGATTTGTTCACTTTATTTTGTACCTGTTACTACCACTCCTGCTTACAGCATCAGCTAAAGGCTAGCAGTACTGTATAAATAAATAAAATAAATTACACCTTCTGTAGGATATGCATGCTCTGGTAAGTATATGCTGTAAGGTTGCGATTTTCGAAACATTACAGTGACACTTTTCTAACAGCTCCATCAAATGATAATAGTCTCGAACAAAATGGGCGTTGAAACTGCTCATTTTTTTTTTTCCTCTGTGCGTTCAACATTGCAATCAACACGGCGGTCGTTCCTGACTGTCTTTACTCAGACCGTTCAATCTCTAAATGTGTTGAATTCGCGTTAGCTTATCACATTCACTCACGGGACCACACATTCCTCGCAGGCCTCCCTGGTGTACAGCAAGCGTTACGATGGCACCGCAGTGAAGCGCACGCTTCAGGCGGTCCTCATCTCATCTTTCTTCCTCAGCTTCAACGCGTTCGCCTTCATCGCTGTCTTCTGCTCGCTCAGGTGCGTAACCTCTAATCACGCGCGCAGCCTCAAAAAAACAATTTACTAAAAAAACCCGATTCCATTGAGTTCTCAATGTCATTATTGCATACTATTATTGCAGTCTAATCGAATGTCACGTTTAGTTTCTTTAAAGGGACAGTAAAAAGAAACGATGAGTTTTTAGATTGATAAACTACACTGTGAGAACTCTAATGTCGTAAGTGTCAATGTCATAAATTCATTATTTGCGGATGAAATCAAGGTTGAAGTCTCATTTTCGAATTTCGCGTCGTAATCTCCACGCGTGACGTAAGAAATTGCACATTGTATTTTTCGTATTTTCGCGATATTGGCTCGATGAAATTTCTTGAGACCTCGTAAAGAGCTGTGTCTGTCATGCTCAAGCAAAAATTAGGCACCGGTCTAGCGGGAGGTTCACCAAGTGCAAGTGAATGGGGTTTTTGCAAGCAGCACCAACGCCGGGCCAGTGGACTGCAGCTCCTTTCACTTGAAGCATCAAGACGCTGTCAACGAAATATGAGAGAGAGAAAATAAAGGAGGGGTTTTGTATGAAAGGTAGTGAAATTGGAATTAAGGACCGTGGTGTCTGGCTGTGCTGCTTCTCAGTTTGTAAAATGGAAAATGTTGGGCAGAACAGATTGTATTGAGGAGAATAAGTTATCACAAGAGCAGCGGGTGACTAAAGTTGTCCGGAACCGCTCCGCTGACGCCTTTCATCGCACATTTTGTTTTGCGTGATAAATCAATAAATCAACCAATCAATCAATTCAACTCGATTGGCTTCAAAGAATGGCTTCAATTTTGGTTAAACGCGATCGGATGTTGTACCACAGCAACAGCATGCCGTGCTGGTAAGAGGGTGTTCTAAAATCAAAATTAGGGCCAGTTTGTAAGTTAGCACGTTTAGTGCAGTGCTAAATGACAAATACAGAAGCGAACAGACGGCACATATGCAGAGAGAGGGAAAGATAGCCCCTAATTGAAAGGCAAACAATTAAGCCGGCGTGGGGAAAGGTATCGAGGATGGAAAGACAAGAAGAGAAAGAGAAAAAAAATTAAGTAAGATAATGTTAAAACAGGATAAAAATAAATTAAAATCGATCGAGACAGTCTCCTGGCTCGCCGGTCGAGTATTGTACACTGTGTGCATGCAAGGTACAGCTAAAGTTTGTCCAGCTGACTTATGCATACCAGGATACGTGAACAGAATTTTAGTCGCACGCCTCTGTTGCATGAGGCAGGCCAAAGGGCCTAAGACGCAGTAAGATTATAAATTTCTCGGCATGATAAAAAGAATGCAATATTCACGGGGCGCACGCTCGTTGGTGTACGCTCGACACTGAAATAAAATGTGTTCCACAGTTTCGATTGAGCCGCTGTTGTTGTATACAGCACGGACTTTCCGCTTGACCGAAGCCAAGGAACCTTCTTGACCTAAACGGTATACCGTAAGCTGCTTGCATGGGCTGTGTTCAAACGAAGTCGATGGTACTGAGTTTCCTGGTGTCGAGGGATTCTTGATCTGAAATACGCAGCTTTTAGCTCTGACCGGTGATCACCTGTTAGCTATGTTGCATGGCTATGATGCACGGCGCTTTCTAATGGTGCTCGTATGTGCAATACAGGAGGCTGGTGGGGCGGTTCAACTTCCTGAATGCCTCCTACCTGCCGGGTTTCCTGGCCAGCCTTCTGGCCATCCTAATTGAACGCAAGAGCAGGTGAGATGCACTTTTGTGCGCACGCTTCATAAATCACAATGTCATTCAGCGCTCGGTTGCGTTGTCGCAGCTCTTTGCCCGAATTCCATTACTTGGCTTGGCATGGCGAAGAGTTGATATCTTCTCAGATTCCGTGTCTCTCGTTTTGCCAACGGTTATGGTGTCGTCCTCAGACGCAGTACAATTGGCGTCATGACACCATAAAGACACATCTAGCGTGAAACGTACCGATTTTTAAATGCGAAGCATTTAGCAAACTTCGGCGACATTGAGCGTATATCTATCTATCTATCTATCTATCTATCTATCTATCTATCTATCTATTATCTATCTATCTATCTATCTATCTATCTATCTATCTATCTATCTATCTATCTATCTATCTATCTATCTATCTATCTATCTATCTATCCGCCTACGGCTTTTAGCTCTCGTGGTCGTTTGGATAATGATATCGATACTAACCTTGATATGGCATAACATGACTATGACGAGCATATTTAACTTGTCATAACATGAAAATTATGACATGTATGTCATGATTTACATTTCATGGTCCTGCAGCTCTTGCGGTGATTTCGTTCACATGGCGTGTTGCAGAACTGGTATGGTATGACATGACTGCATGGCGAGCACAAGCGACAGACCCCAGCATGAAAATCATGACATGCGTGTCGTTTAACAACATGACTACACGCCACACTCGTGATGCGTCCGCGGCCATTTTGCTAGCGTCACATGATTCAAAATTCGGTATTACAGTACGTGAATTTATGACGAAGGTATGTGACAAGTGCAAACATGATAATGATTACATGCGTGTCAAGTAACATGACTACATGCCACGCTCATGGTGCGCTGGCGACCGTTTCGCTATAGCTCCACTTATACCAAATTCGGTATTACGGGACGTGAATGGATGACGAAGGTATGGTAATGGTGTTCACATGATAAACGTGAATGCGTGTCATGTAACATGACTACATGCAACGCTCATGATGCGCTCGCGGCCGATTTGCTAGCTCCACATATACCAAATTTGGTGTTACGTGACGTCAACTGATGACGAAATATGACTGGCGCAAACACGATAATCCTGAGACTCCTGTCATGTAAGAACATGACAACATACCACGCTAATAGCGTGCTCGCAGCCGTTTCGCTAGCCCCACATATACCAAATTTGGTATCACGTGACGTGAATAGATGACGAAGGTAAATGACACATCCAAACATGATAATCATGACACGTAAGTCATGTACGGCATCACTTACTTCGACCTCATAACGTTGTTCTGATTTTAAAGTGACATATCAAGCTTTCTTCTTCGTGCTTCGCATATTAGCGATTTCCACTGTACGTGGAGTCTGCTAATTTTTCTTGTTGTTTCTTTCCTGTTAAGTCGTGCCTGAAATGCGAAATTTTTTATCGTCACTGTATAAATGTGTGGCTCTATATTTAATTTAACTGCATCGTTGTATTAAAGTGCGTTATCTTGCTATTAGCATGTGCGGCAAAACTCCGTTTTATACTTCATGCTCCTCCGTTTGATCTTATTTTTCCAGGAGGCAAGCGTTGGCCATATACGTCTGCAACATAGTAAGTAGCAACTTTCTTTTTCCATATACAACGGAAGGACGCAACCATGGCCTTTTCAGTAACATTTCTCGCATAATAGCGTACAGCCGAGTTTCAATTGCATCAAATTGAGCTTATCACAATTGATGTGTTGGACTGTGCTCGGCACACTGACGAAATTGACAACTCGGATAGTTAGCTGACTTGACTCTTGACAACTTTATCAGCTGCGCTGATAAAGTTTTGATAAAGCTGATACAGAAATAGCACGGGAAGGCTCTTATACTTATAAATAGAAAGATTTAATGAAGTACCTATAAATATAAAAAAATGTGATCGCACTTAGGTCTTAAAACATGAATGACAAAGCTCAAAGGTAAAACTTGAAAGTGCTATACGGCATATCTCAAGAAAATAAAGGGTTACCTTGTCTCGGGCTTATTCGCTGCAAAAAGAAAAGAAATGCCATATAATCAAGGTCACAAACCTAAACCTCTTCATAGCAAGCAATTCAAATGCAAACAGACCCCATCTCGTGTGTTCCAGATTCTAACGGCTCTAGTATGCGTCGGTGTGTATTTGTCATCCCGTTTAGCAAGGTGCACCTCCCGTGTGCCATCATAGAGTATCAGAGCGTCCATCTGGGAACGTTATTGTTCCAAATTTTTGGAACGGTTACTTAGTTAGCCTCGCAAGTGTTCAAATGTCTCACTAGCCCAATAAAACGGCACGAAAAGGAAAATGGAATCTTTTGATTCGAAAATCTGTAAATAGTGGTTGTGTCGACCCGAAGTTTTGGCTATAGAACAGCTCTGTTCTATAGCCTTGAAGAAGACAAGTCCGCCTTGTCAAAACTTTGGCTCGACAAAACCTCGTCTTGCGGATTTTTTTTTTTTATGCCTCACTGTATACAACTATACTGCCGTGAGCTCATTCGGAGGGCGACTCATTCTCACGCTTCCGTACCCGTGTTGCGCAGGCCTCGGAAACCATCTTCCGCATGAGGGTCTCCCGCAAGGATTTCCGACCGATCAAGCATGGCGAGGTAAGTGGTCGCAGTCGCCTGCACATATTCTCTCTCTCTCTCTGCGCGGCCGCTGCTATAGCGTTCGCGTGCGTGTGTCGTTGCAATTTATTTGGGAGGTCAGGCGCTATGCGACGACGCCCGTGGGGCAATAAACCGTTTGCGCAACACGAGGAAGAGAAAAAGAAGAGGATGTTGCAGTTCGACGTGTCGCAAACGATGTGACGCTGTGCTGCGAGCACGAATTTGGGCGATACGCGGGTCCACGGTGGGTCATATACGCCTGACGTCAAAGTTTATGGGAAGTTGGATCGACAAAAGTGCGTGATTCCTTTCTGGTTACTGTGTAGTTTGCGATGTCAACTACAGGCTGGGGCATTTATTTCGAGGTTATGCTCCAAGAAGAAGAAATGGCCGTGGTCACAGCACGTAGCGTGACGGCAAGACTTAATTCCAAATGAAGGCGAAAGCGCGAGGGGGTGGCAAAACGTTAGGTGTGCAGAGGAGATTGAGAAATTTACGAGGAGATTGATTGGCGAGACATGGGAAAGGCTCTTGTCCTGCTATGGGCGTATACGCTGATGATGATGCTGATTATCCTATGAGAAAGCGAGGAGATAGTTGTCTCAAACATTTCGCGTCCAGCTAGCAGGCGCTGTCCGAGGGCACTCGGACACAGCGGCGTTTCGTTGCTGAGGGACGGTTGTTCGATTCTCATAGGCAGTGGAAGTATTTCGGCGAAAGCCTATGGTGAAGGCTCTCGTCTACTAATTCGGGAACAAGTTTGAGTGAGTGAGTGAGTGAAAGAGTGAGTTGGCGAGGAAGTCAATGATGCCATGTCATGTAAATTGCTACTCTCCATAGGCTCACGTGATGAGTACCACAGAGTGTACGTACAACGGAAATTGTTAATTGTAACACCTGTCGGTGCCTGTCTGCCCGCCTTTTCATCTGACTACAAACACGTACCTTATCGATATTGCTTAAATTATGCAGAAAAAACTACTAGGTACGTACAACTCGCATGACCCCTGTGCTGGTTTACTGCACAGTGCACATATTGTCGCTGAACGCATCAACTAACCCTATTGAAACTATCCGTATGCGATTTCCAATAATTCCGTATGTTTCCGTAAGAATCTTACGGAAATATATGGAAAATATATAGGAAACATGTATTCTTACGGAAACATACGGAATTATTGGACATCGCATACGGATCGTTTCAATGGGGAAGGTATTAACTACTGCTACAGTTGCTGCCCTGACGTCGACGCATGCGTAAATGACGTCGACGCATGCGCATTAGCAAAGTTTTACCCCAGCGAACTGCACATCGACTGTCGCTCGAACGCACGTTTGTCCCCTCACTCGTTTAATTGACTATAGTCAATTTTTTGCCCCTCACTCGTTTAATTGACTATTCACTATCCGGTATACCGAATAGTGAATAGTGCTTATCGTCGTCATGACTGAAGAAGAAGATGGAGTGTGAATAATTTATATGTATAATGCTCTCACAGCTAGATCACTTTCTACCTAGAAACGTAATCATTGACCGAGTGCGTCAGTACATGTTTTTTTAACCCGCAATTTATCCCATCGAGCGCTTCACGTGACTTCACGTGCACCCCGTATTCATACCCGCCACCGTTATCTAGCGGCTGAGGCACTCGGCTGCTGTCACGCAGGTCGCGGGATCACATCCCGGCTGCGGCATCCGCATTTTCGATGGAGGTTAACCTGTTTGAGGTCCGTGTGCCTAGATTTAGGTGCACGGTAGAGAACCCCAGGCGGTAGAAATTTCCAGAGCCTTCCAATATACGGCGTCTCGCATGGCGATTTTGAGACGTTAAACATTAAAAAAAATTCTTATTAACCCCCGTATTCACAAACGATCCTCGACTCGAATTTCGTCTTTCACTTGACAGCGCAGATCACTGTGCCGCTGCTCGACTTAAAATGACGCTGCGCTTCTTAATAAGAATCGCTGAAGATTATCGCCGATATGCAGCGACCTAGAGACGGCGTTACCATCGACTTTCTCAAGCTAAGGTGAAGCGTCAAGTGAAGGGACGTTCTAGAATACGGTGGTTGGCCCATGCTATTTATCTACTTCGAAATGATCGCTCCGGAGACAAGTTCTCTTCTTGCGTCACCCGCGCAATTCCGGTCACTTACATCGCGAAGTGCGATGACCGACCGAGATTAAAGGAGGCGGGACCGATGGCCTGCGTGTGCAACAATCTTCGATCGCGCTTACGCGCGCTTTGTGGCCACATGGACAACGCCACGATTTTTCTTGGTTTTTGGCTTGCCGTATGACGCGTCGCCTTCGCAAGGAAAGAGGCTATCGAGGAAAAGGTCGCCACGGTACCGGCACCATTTCTCAGTGTTACTTGTGGCGACATCCCGGAAGCAGAGACGGCTTTTCTGTGGGTCGTTACACTGTTGCTATGTTGCGCGACGCACAGCCCCAAAAATTGCTTATTCATGGCGCTCAACGACCCCTGCGTCTGTAAATGTAATCATGCCATCATCATCACCATCATCATAATCAGCCCGAAAAAGTACGGTCAATAGCATTTATTTATTATTTTAGATGCGAAGCAGCTCTTTGACTCGCGTGTTTAATGCCGCACGTACGTGCGTCCGTACGACCGCAACGCATTCTCCTAGCCGCAGGCGTTGGAGCGGTGCCTAGTAGGTCACGCTGCATCTGCGCGTGGACGCCACGCTCCCCTCGCAGGTGCGCACTGACGTCACTCACCCGCAGCACGCACGCCGTAACTGCCGGTTCCTCCGCCCGCTTGCAACACACTTCCCTCTGGCTTGACTCTCCCCACCTCCCGCAACGCTCGACCGCACGTCGAGTAGAAACACTCCTTCAGGTCGTTTATCTGCGATGAAACTTACCCGAAACTCAACTCGCCTCCCGTGTCTTTGCGTTTCAAACAAAAGTTCACTTGAGTAAATGCTACACCCAGTTTCGCTTGAAACCGTTTTTCCAGCAAACGCGTCGACACCTGTTTCAACTGGGTCAACGCCGTGTGCACCGCTGCTGCTTCGCATCCCATCAGGATCCCCTTCAGGGAGATGGTTCATAGTTTTTAGATACCCTATGCCCTGCTTCCCGGCATTTTATGCATGGGTGGGTCTGGAGAGCGCGCAATACACATAAGCGTCCAGAGTGGTGTGTAAGCAGAGGGCGTTTGCCCCTGACTCGCTCGCTGGATTTCGTGCCAACCGGTTGTGCCCCCGCGATTTCCGACGACAGCGCAGCTCTAGTCGACTGGCTCGCCCTTCGCCATGCGTCTCCTGACGCCAAGAGATCTCGCCGAGTGGTGCCCCGTCATCGGATTTGGTGGTAGTGGTTAGAAGAGGAGAAAGGCACCTAACTTCTGCAGCCCGGTCGGGAGCACGGTGCATTGCCTGATCCGTCCTCGGACTTCTGCGACCGTGTCCATCTTTCCTATGTTCTGCTTACTTCCGTATGCGGCTGTCCTTGTGCCTCTCTTTCTCCCTGATTTTCTCTTTATATCTATACATTTCATTCCCACCCTTTTTAATCCCTCCTTACCCCCATCCCTCGTGAGCTACTGTTGAGGAGTTCTCCCCCTGAGAGACAGTTATGGGGCTCACCCCCCCCCTTCTTCACCTCCCCCTCCTTGGAATTCAGCATAACATTTTCCTTAGCAGTAGCAATAAGCTACGCGGCTTGATTAGCTCACTCAAGTCCAGCCTATTCTTCAAAAACGCCAGTCACGATTGCGAGCAACCTTTTCACCCGTATTCCTGATCTCGCCAGTCATGTCGCGGCAGCTGAAAAAAAAACTGGATGTTCTAAACGCCCTTTCTTTCTCACCCACCACAACCGCGGATGTACCTCCTGTAAAAACGGTTCTGCGGATGCATTTGACAATACATAACAGAACTAACAAAGTTATATGCAGATATGTACAAGCATATACGGGTAAAAGTCAGTTGAGCAGTTACAATGACGGAATTTCGTCGTACACCAGTTGTAGAAACAAGCTAACAACAATGAAGAAAGCGTCGGTCGTACGAACGGCATCTGTTAGTGTGACCAGACTCTGTCGTGGCTTTTTCTTCTAGTAGTAACACACGTAAGTACGTGTGTGTGTGTGTGTGTGTGTGTGTGTGTGTGTGTGTGTGTGTGTGTGTGTGTGTGTGTGTGTGTGTGTGTGTGTGTGTGTTATGCCTCGGCCAAATTCCACGGGGTCTTTGTCCTTCAGATGGTGACGGTTGCAGAATATCGTGCAATACCACGCCGCCGGCTCTTTTTGTCGCAAACTTGTCGTTGGCCAAGCAGTTCTCAGCAGCCGAGAGCAACATTCCGAAGCGGCGTCAACACAGCAGTACGGCGAATTCTTCAGGGTCGTTGGCTCGCCTTGCCGAAACCCCTTTAGACACGCCCGACTGACGGATTCCCTAGACATGACTATGTGCAGTTTGTGCGGCTTCGCTATCCTTGGCGCCTTCAAGTCTTCTTTTCTCGCACACCGTGGCCTGCCCGGCATAAATGCCTCCATTGAGTCATCTCTGGGCTTGAGACTCCCCTTCAGCGTACTAGGCTAGTTGTGTCGTGTATTGTGTGTGTTTCTCTCACCGTGCGACTAATTGGGCTGCCTCTTCCCTTTTCCTTGGTTGAGAGGAAAGAGGTGTTGGACTTTCCCTCTTCGGGGGCAGACAGGAAGACGATGATATGATTGTATTGTCGTGGACTCTACAATCACTACTCTAGTTTTCTCTTGCAAGGAATCGTAGCAAGACCCATGGATATGAAACGTGAGTGCCGAGATGCTCGAGGATGCTTTTTTTTCTTTCAAGAAATGGCTGTTTCACGCTACTGTGAACATACTAATATCGTATATAAACGTTCTTATTACCTACCCCGGTTCCTCTACTTGCCTTCTCCTGAGACTACGATGGCTATCCAAAGTCGAAACAGTGGGTGGGTGTGTGTTGTGGTACCCTCCTCGCTAACTTAAGTGAATGTTCGCGTGCGCACTCGCCTAAGACAGTGGGAAAGCTGTCATTTTTTTCCTTCTCACTCAATATATTCTCTAGCATTCATCTATCGCATGCAAAGTGGTCCTTAAGTCATTTGTGCCGCAGTACCTTCGCGTCATGCAAAAAATCCTAAAAATATTAGCAAGCAGCTGTTAGCTGTAACGGCTCAAAATGTATCTGGTTCATTATTTGCACACGCGCCATGTGTTTACGTGTACAGGTATAATTAATGACGTCTGAAGCCTTTGCAGGCAATCATTCAGAGCTTTAGATGACGTTGATACGACTCTGAGAAGCAATAACTAGAAACTTAAGCTATACATTTCGTTACGCTCGTACTAATTTCCCATATTTTCGTGTGATACGAATTTTGGATGATACGAATATTTCTGGTGTCCCGCCGCGTTGGTCTAGTGGCCAAGGTACTCGGCTGCTGACTCGCAGGTAGCGGGATCGAATCCCGGCTGCGGTGGCTGCATCTCCGTTGGAGGCGGAAATGTTGTAGGCCCGTGTGCTCAGATTTGGGTGTACGTTAACAAACCCCAGGTGGTCGAAATTTCCGCAGTCCTCCACTACGACGTCTCTCATAATCATACGGCGGTATTGAGACGTTGAACCTCACATATCATTATCACGAATATTTCTGGTGATCCCGCCCGACTCATATTACTGAGGTTTTACTGTAATTACTTGCGGGGTTCAACGTGCCAAAACCACGATATTATTATGACACAATGTAGTGAGGAGGACCGGATTAATTTTGATTACCTTGAGTTCTTTCACACCCTCCTGTCAAGTCTTCATTTCTTCAAATAAATTGCGTGCTACAACGCTTATAGCACTTGCATATAGTTAATTACGTTATGGTACTTTGTTTTCACGATAGCAAATTGATGTACTGAAATCGCAGTCGGGTATACCTAAAAAAATGTTCATTTTTTTTAATCCATGTGCATTTTCTTTGTCTTTTTCTGATTAAAAATGATATATCGAGTCGATTCCAGTCACAATGGATTACCATAAGTTCTCACTATTTTAGAGTATGTAGTTGGCAAGAACGTAGTAAGACCGTTAGAAACGGCGGCGTTTACTACCTATTTGGATCGAGCTATGTACTGTCTATTAACGCAGATACTAAACAGAGAGCACAAAGTTAGCAATGGTTGTAGCTGGTAATCGTTTCTAACGTAGGTACTTAGCAGGTTCCAAAATGTTAGTAATGTTCCAAGTGAGTAACCACTGCAGTTGCTAGCTATTTGCTTTTACACGCTACTTTTTTTTACTATTTTTTAAATAGTACACTTCTTTCTGACTTGTTGATTGCTAATATATACGCTTTTGAAAAGCATGTGTCGCCCATCGTCCTAAAGGTTTTCTGAGGCTGAAAGGCCTACGGCCGAGTGTCATTAAATATCTCTCATCATGATGTCTTGTTGTCCTCGTCTTCCCAGGTGATGCTGTTCAGCGTGGCGTCCGCGCTCTTCTTGTACGTGATCCGGCGCAGCGGCTTCTCGAACGACCCCGTGAGCCGGGCCTTCCAGTTCATCGTGGGTCGCGAGGAAGTACTCTCGTCGTCGCCCCGCGGTTCGTGTTCGCACACGCCCAGTTCGTCGGGCAGCTCGCCCACGCCGCCCATCCTGCGCGCCGGGGTGGACAGTCCTCCCGAGGACCTCGCCGCTCGCAGCGAGGCCCAGGAAAAGGCCTGGCAGCTCGTCCACTACGTGTCTCGTCTCCTCGACGACCAAGGGTCGTGGATGCAGAAGAGGCTCACCGCGCTGGGACTGAACGCCAGGCACTGGTCGTGCGGGCACAAGCGCGGATGCGCGGCGCACGTCTTCCAGGTTGGTTATGGTTCACCTGCTTTGACACAGATTGATTGAAAACACGCGGGAGAGGCTGTCACCGCTGCAAAACTAGTGCGTAGCACTGACATTTGACAAGCTGTGCTTTTACTTCTTGTGGTCACTCTAGGTTAAGTTAGAGAACCATTGTGAACTTTATTGCAACAATGCAACAAAACGTCACGTAGATGCGAATCGCCAAAAAGACAGTGATTATGCGTGCACGCGTGCCTCTTCTCTCGTGCGATGTTTTTTTTTTTTACGCTACTTACGCCAACTCGCCCGATTTTCACATTTGCTTAGGCTAGAGACGCTTGTACCTACACAGTCAATTCCACTGTGTGTGTACTTATCCTGCCTTTTCCATTTTTTACAGCAGATTTCGGGCAATCGTGGTCAATGTAGTATGCCTGCAGCCATCTAAGTAAGAACTGTGGCCTCGTGCCTTGGAAAGGCATGCAGTAAGCAGCTATACACATCTAAGGCGCGCGCAGCTAGCGAGTGCTCAGTGTTTGCTTATAAGGGTGCATCGGGGTTATATATACGGTGGAATAAACTGGTTCTGGTGATGTTTATTTTGTGAATGTGACGTGTCAGTTGCCCTTACCGCACGCATCTTGATGATTTAGCGGTACATGGCCATCACTGGTCCTTGCACCATAAAACGCCATTCAGCATCACCATCATCGTCATCGTGCACTTCTTCTTCGCACAGGGTTTCCTGCGCTCCTTCATGCTGGGCTGTGGCCTGCGGGTGCTGTTTCGGCTGGTGGCCACTCGACGTCACCTAGCGCAGGACGTGAGCCGCGTCTACCCGACGCTCCTCCGTCGGGACAACCTCTGGCTGGGCGCCTTCCTCGGTTCCTTCGCTGGCATCTACAGGGTACTTTGAGAGTTTTGGGAGCTAGGGAAACTTGATGTCTGTTCTCACTTATGATTCAATATAGGGACCGACAGCTGGCTGGCCAGAACGTGCGATTGGATCGTATGTGGTAGAAATGAAAAAAAAAACGAAAATATTCCAGCATTCTTTTCGCGTTGCGACTAGGATTTATAGTTTTAAATTATGTCTAAAATTACTAAAAATTTGTTTTGTTGCGGATGTGCCTTGAAGTTGGATTATGGAACATGGGGTCGATCCCATTGCTGAACGAGGTCGCGCAGTCTGACGCTTTCTTGTGTGCCTGTTCTCAAAAATACAATATGTATATTGTTATCCAGCAACAATAAGTTCTGTGCTGCTTAAAGGGACACTAAAGTCAAATAACAATTTACGTCAGAGTGAAAGCTCAATGTATGACAACATTTAAAACAATAATATTGACACTTACCGAGAAATTAAGGTAAATGCACAAGAACACAAGCGCTGCAGTGGGACATTTTCAAAATTATCCCGATGACATCAGACGGACCACCTACAATTGATCACTAGTACTTCCGTGCATCGAGAGACGCAATAAAATGTTGTTTGTCTGTTTCTGTTTGTTTGATGGAATAAAGAACCGCCGGACGTTACTATGGGGAATGGCGCGAGTGGTACGATTATTCAATTTTCGCGTGGTTACACGCGACAGGTAGTGTCATCTAGCGGGGCGCAGTTGAAACAAAAGCGTCTGCACTCTCGAAGCCAAAGGCGGGAAATTGATCAATGGCCGTTGTTGCTGCTGTGGCTCCCACTGCTTTCGGTCTGCTGCTAGTAACGCAGTTAAGCTGGGCAACGTTATGCATGGCAACAGTGACGCGAGTCGTTTCGGTCCACCGCTTCTTGAGGCGGGTAATTTGAAGTGCGCTAACCCGATGCGGAGAACTAAAATGTGATTTTATTCAAAAATAGGCCCTTCCTTGGCACGAAAGTAACACTACAAGGTTTCTGGACCCCAATTTCAACAGTCAACTTCGACTTAATATTTGACTTTAGTTTCCCTTTAAGCCGTAGAAGGAGTTGCATGGTGAAAAGCGGCGCTGCTGTCGCGGCCGACAGGAGACCAGGTCGAGCTGTGGCGCAGGCGCGCGAAGTGCACGCATGCGCAGTAAACCACCGTGCTCGAACACGAACTGCCCGCGCTCTCAGTATTTGCAGCATGCGAGCATACGACTTCGTATATTCTCTGCAGATGGAAGAACTCTGTTTACACAGGTCTCGCGGCGTTTCCCACTTGACCATTCTGGGATCAGATCCAATACACTTCGCGCTAAAAAAAGGGCAACATAAAAATTGTTCTTAATCCTTTGTTGCTTGTGTATAGCTCACAGATAAGCCGTTGGGCGCTTTTTTACGCACTTAATTTATCTTTTATCTCTGTCCTGCGGCAGCACACGAAGCAAAAAGAAAATGTCGTGAAAAGAACAAGCATGTGTATGCACTGATACTTTTCTGTGTATTGTCTAGCCATTTGTCTTGCTTTCCGTGCAATACCAAGGTAATTGATCATTACAACAAACTGCAGTACAATCGTTTGAGCAGTACTTTGGTTTGGACTAGTTCTTCTATTGTCGAACTTATTATGAAGTGCCAGTGCAAAGGCTCGTGGCGCCTTTTCTCTCTCTCTCTGTGTGTGTGTGTGTGTGTGTGTGTGTGTGTGTGTCTTTGCGTTGCCACACTTTTACTGCAGTGCAGTTGGAGAGAGGGGGTCGCCAAGTGGGCCCTATACTATATCTTTTCTCGTTCGAACCAGTTGTGCAAATCTTTAGTGTTCAAGGTTCTCACTACTCAGGCAGCCCAAGGGCGCTGTCTGCATTTATCAGAAGGAGAAATTTATTAGAAGAACGAGAGGTCGGCCTGAGCTCTAGTATACGTAGGAGAACAGGAAAATTAATCAGAAGAGTGCATTGACAAATAAGTGAGCGTTAACGGTAGCAGGCAGAGACTCCTGTTGATGATTGGGTAAGTGAATCTTGGAGGTTAATGTAAAATGAAAACATTTATAAAGTGAACACGCACTTTTTTTGATGGATGGGTGAGGGTTTGCAGAACAGTCTTATGAATCCAACATAAGAAAATTAAGATATTGGACGATTTCTACACACTGTAAATATATAGGTGAGGCATCAGAGTGTCGCCATTCGTTCCTATGTCCACCTTATTTGTGTTCGTGTGAAGTATAGTTGTCGGTCATGTGCAATTCTTGAACACTCAAGCAAGACTGTACAGAGTCCATTCCGCAAATGTCAGAATGTGGTCTCTAGTATTTATGGCCTGAAAATGGCTGTCAGGACTGCTCGTGTACGCTAATGCATAAGCTGATAATAGGCCGTGCTTTTTTGTACGTTCGCGCACCACGAAATGGGGTGAAAACGGTGCCGCCCCCACTCCAATTATATTCCAGCTAGTAAGCTGCCTGCTGCGGTGGAGTGGCGATGGTCGCAGTGACTGGCACGCTCTGCCGGCTGGTCTTCTGGCAGGCCTGTCCATGTTCTGGTACCCAAGTCCCAGCATCGCACTCTACCTAGTCTGGAAGCTCGTCGAGGTGAGAATCGAATGCATGGGTGCGAGCACCAGGCTGTTGCGTGTTTTGTGATTTATTTCCTGCGTAGCAGCTGGCCAAGTAATAATTTTGTTTCTTTAGCTGCGTCTACGCCAGGATGATTTTTTAAATCCTCCTTTGTATACACTTGCGTAGAGTTCCCAAGAGACAGCAATCTGTCTCATTTGTATGTATTTTTTGCGCAAACAGATGGGTTACTACATGGAAATAGGAACATATCTGCAACTTTATAAATCTAAGCTTTCTTAAGCTGGTTTTCGGCTTCTGTAATGTGCAATACAATTGTTCGCTTGCTTTAAAAACGTTTAGACAGCCATTAGCGGGTGCCGTAGAAATTCACGAAGTCATAGCACTGTTGCAAGGTTCCTTTCTTGCACTTCTTTTACTTCACTTCAAAAGCTTTGCTTTGCCGGTGTGGAGAGAAAATTCGATTTGTCTGGGTTCCACTCTACTTCTCAATGTCCCATAACTAATAATGCATATATTTTTTCTTCTTGTCTGGTACGCTTACATTTGCAGAACGTCTACATGGCTGGCATGGACAATGGCGTTCTTCCGTGCGTTCCCAACGCGCCGGTTCTCCTCTACTCTGTCTCCTGCGCGGTGCTTTTTTACGCGGTGAGTATAATGAAGATTGCGAAGATAAGGTGCTGCATTTAATGACGATTGAGACTATGCCGGTTGTATGTGGCCGCCAAGTGTCTTGCAGCTCGTAATATCAAATCGTGATGTGCCTCTGTGCATTGCGATATAGCATTGCATCATTCCATATGTACTGCTGTATACCGTAAAGTATCTAACACCTTGCTTCTTTTACGGGGGTCGTTTTACATTTGCGCTGTCTTCGCAGTTCGGGCCACGATTTTCCGATCACGCAACCCTATTTAGTTCTGACGATGGTATTCAAATATTAGCGACTTCCATGAAATCAGATCTTTCCCACCCGTCATTTATCGTCACGCAGAAACGTGCCACGCATTGCCTTGTTTCATAAAACGTATCACCGCCCTGCACTATAAGCGATCGCCTCATCCCTGAGCCATCTCATGTATCGCATCACACAGACCATCGTTGTAAAGTCGGACTCGTTTCGTGTAATACTGCGCACTTACATCATTCATTTATGCCACGAACCTGTCGTGATTGGAATGGCAATCCCGTGGACGTTGTGAACATTTTTCATCATGAACAGTTTCGTAATTCCGCAGCTAACATTGTATACTCAAGCTTTTTCTAAACTCACTAATAGTTCACATTTTGCTCCTTTGTTTCATGTGCACTTTTATAGTATTTTTGTTCTTTTTTTCGTGTTTTTTGTGTGTTTCAAAGTGTTGCTACCACTCCCCCCCTGTAAGGCCTCTGGCCCTGAGGGGTATAGTGAAATGAAATTAGCGTGGTCCGCACTTAATTAATGAAGCTAGGAACCACGTGTTTCATCCAAACTCACGTACATCCTTTCTTCTTCTTCTTCCTTTTTTTTCTTTTTTACTGTACACCAGGCGGTCTTCGAACCTCACAATCTCAGGCCGACGTACTGGACGTTCCTCAACAGGTTGTCGTGCGGCAGGTACGTCCCAAAACAAGTGTACGACCGTTTCAGCTAGACTGTGTAGTATACCTGGCATTCCCGCTGAAATCGTGTCTGCCATCTTGGATGCCACAAGTTGTGCGTCAACCTGTCGTCTTGAATATTCTTTTTCTATAGGATCAATTGCAATACGCATATACTCAACGGCTCATTGAAAGGTCGTAGTTGGGAGTTGATTTTGACCGACTGATGAATTATTTCTGGCCGCCCGATGGATTAATTCTGGCCACCTAATGTTTTCTGAGGTGCGCCTAAATCGAAGTTACGCTGGTGTTTTTGCATTTTCGCGCGATCAGCCCTAGTAAGGTACCGTAAACAAAACGGCAATTTCGAAGCACCATGAAGGTGTGTATGCGCACCAGCAGAACAATCAAACATTCCTAAACATCGTAATTAATAAACTCGGAGCCACCGCTGGTAAAGGGTGTGTAATACGGTGGCTCCCGGAAAGAGCGTATTCGGAAATTTTTTCGGAGGGGGGGGGGGGGTCAACTATATTTTATGGGGGTTCACGCGTGCATTTGTATGTGTTCGTGTATGCATTCGTAAGCGAAATTGAAAAATACTGAGGCGGGGTTGAATTCCTCTCCCTGTGGGTGTTCTGCTGTTCGAGTACCCAAAGCTTCGCAACCACTATCAGCTTCGCGAAATCGCGAAAAAAAAAATTGTTTTTTGCCTAAGTCGAAAACATTCGGATGAGCCGGAGTCTACGAATCGCGTGAAATCGAAATTCTGACTAGATCTCTACAATGAGACCTATTGTAATTGTAGCTGTGAGTCGCAAAACTGTTATTGAGATACACTGAGATTTCCTGAAAAAAAAAAGGGGGGGGGGGGCATCGTAAACAACGCACATTATTCACTAATGCTCTAACTTCAGATTCTTTTGCTCCGCGTCTAGAACAGTCAGAGATTCCGAAATTTCCCAGAGTGTTGCCAGCATTTAGGTTAACAACTGTGCCAAACGCTATTGCGCAGAATAACGTAAAAAACAGGTGTACGCTTCTACAGCAACTGTTCATTGGGCAAAGTCGACCAATAAACAGTTTTTTTTTTTTTTGGGAAGCGCACACCTTTTTTCCTATTTGTTTGTGGCAACCGAAGACATACTTTTTATAATATTCTTAAGCCCTTACGACACGTTCGCGCCGTCGCTTTGCAACGCTATGATATGTTCTTATGCAACTAGAGGCCTAACCACTTCGAGATTTTATGGTCACACAGTGCAGGTGCACCGTGAAGTATAACTTCCCTTCTCTGCATTTTCAGATTTTCGCTGCTGAACCGCCACGTGTACGACATGTTCGGCGTGCACTCCTCCAAGCTGTTCGATGACTTTTGGCCCAAGCTGGACTTGAAGTTCACCACGCGCAGGTTTCAAGAGTCGGTCCTCATCTGGGTGCCGTTTTGACGAATAGCCAGAAATGGAAGAAAGAAGAAATAATGTGTGATATGGCTAAATGAATGTTCTCATTCAGCCCCCCCCCCCCCTTTCCATTTTTTTGTATTGCAGTTATGTCGCGAAGCCTCTTATTCCACCGCAATAAGTTTGCGACCACTCGAGAATCTGGTGTTGGTGGAATGTGCAAACTGCGAAATAGCCGTATGTGAATGTTTATTTTTTATAATATTTTCTTCTCACTGGAACTTTTTTAGGAGTGTCATTCTGTACGCTTTTTCGGGACGTGTGATTTCCACCCACCCCCTTTTTTTGTTGCAGTGCCTCACAGAGGTCTGTGAGAAAGGGGGGGGGGGGATACACTCTCTGCTTTCACCTGGTCTTCCAGCCCTTTCCATCACTCCGACCTCCTCACAGAGACGGCAGACCATAAGCCTGCGCACGATAAGGTAGGGCGGGAAAGGGTGGCAGCACAACACTACACTCTTCCCAACTCCTTAGGGGGGGGGGGGGCAGCCACTTCGTCATTCACCGCGTTTTTATCGTTAGGACCTCAGTGTAAGTGTACGAGAAGAGTGTAGAGGGACGCTGTGAAAGAACATCGCCTCTACCCCCCTCCCCACCGAATCCGGAACTCCACGCATGCCTATGGCCGGAAAGACGGCCGGACAGGACAGTGATTGCGCAGTCCAGTCCAGCTGCATACGATCGTTGAACTTCCGACTGTTGCGTTGATTGTTCCTCCGCGTGTTACACTTGGGGAAAAAAAAGGGGGCGACGAACAAGGGAGAACAATAGACAAGAAGTGTTTAATGAACGTCACGGGAGTCATCGCAATATATCATTGTAGCAATATGCTTTTACACGTGCGCATACTGGCGCATGCTGCGGGAAAGATAATTTAAATTTCCGAAAGTATCGACTCCTTGTACCTCCACGATTCACGCAAGCTCAGTTTCTTGGCTTCTTTATATTTTGACATCTAAATACCGTCATCGGCCATAACAACACCCGCCATCTCAACACCGGTTGTCGATTCTTACAAAAACCGGCTATTCGCTGCGCTCCATCTAATTGGTGTTAAATTGAAAATAGCTCTAATCAGGATGGCCATCACGATACTTTTTTTTTTGTAGTATTCGTCGTCTTACCAAACTTGCTGTGCTCACCTTGAGGCTCCGTTTACGAAGTAGATTTGCATATTCCAGGTGTGAGGACATACAGACGTGTGCGCCTCTCGAAGGGTTGCACGGCAGACTCTCTCGCTCAAGAGGCCTTGAAATCGCAAGAATGTTGTCGATAACAGGGGGTTTTTAAAGCGCGCTATGAACAAGGTGTTTTGCAGGGTGAGGGCGCGAAGCACTTTTGTAAGAACGCCTCTGTTGTTTTCCTTCCTGTTTGTAAATTTTGCTGCGTTATATAATGGGCGACAGCTAAACCCGGCTGTACCTTTCGCGATAGGCGATGTCTTGTCGCTTTTGTATATACACACGAGAGGAAATAAACTTGTACATAACCCATCTCCTTGACATTTCGTGTGTGCCGATCGTACGTTACTGTGGTTCTTGTGTGCGTGCGCATATAGGTGTATGCATTTACGTGGAAAGCGTGTACGTGACGTCACGAATGCAGCTCCCGAAAGGAACTGGGGTTTAACGATGACAGCTTTGGTTGCAAACAGCCCAGGCAACAACACTCCGGCATTGGGCCAATCTCGTTCCGCATTCGGTTAAACGGCGGCCACAATATTGGCCCCATGTCGGCAAATCACACTCGCGCTTACTTTGACTGACCCACATTTGTCCCATGTCGGCTACCGGCGTTGGGCCTATGAGGGCTAGTCGGCGTTGGGCTCGATGAGGGCTTGCCAGCGTTGGGCTAGATGAGGGCTTGCCGGCGTTGGGCTCGATGAGGGCTTGCCAGCGTTGGGCCGATGACGGCTAGCCGTTATTAAGCCTATTTAAGCTGGGCCACGCTAGAATTTTATTGACCTCGCTGACGTCGGGGGCCACCGGTGTGACCGCTAGCATACGTTATTATGGAGGTTTACCATGTAGTAAATTAATACTGAAGCGTTGTGTCCCTTACGTAGCCAGATTACATGGAATACACCGGCGGTAATTGTTCGGTGCTTACAGTAACGTAAAAAGGCTGGCACAGGTATTATAAAGTGAAATGGCTGTGTGCCATATTGTCAGCAGCGCTAAAAAGGTCTATGAGCGACGCAACGGTATTCATCGACTATCGGTGGCGCCGTATTAGGAAAATGTTCGTAATCGCAACGACTACTCTATTGGGGTCTTAGTGTACATTCATACCCATGCAAGGATGAGAATAAAAGTGGATATTGTATCCAACATAACTAAAAAAGATGAAAAGCCTGCTGAACACATTTGCAAACTGATCAAAATAAATTCATTCACATGTATGTATGTATTAATCTTGAACACAACTGAAGTTCAAGATTAATGATGCCATAAAGAAACACCTTAAAGGAGCACTGACGTCGAATTTCAAGATCGAGATGTGCCCATCATTCTATCACTTGGTATGCGTAGGTCTTCTTGGCCAAATTCGAATGGCGTCCGTCGCGTCGAAGTTATTTTATTTGCGAGTTCGATCATTCAGCGACAATACGTCCCATAATGTTGGGGAGCCGCTGCCCAGTGAGAACCTGCACGTCGAGGCGTGGAAAAAGCGGTAAGTGCGTGGCGTTTCATGCCCTTTCAAGCCATGAACATCATTGCAGCCAGTGAGTTGACTTCGTACGCGCCGTTGGATAGAGGGATTGGGCGCCTGTGAAGAACAGCCGCATTTGCCCCCTTCACTTTGCGGCGAGCTGCTACAGGGTACATCCTGTGTTGGCGAACCAGTTGGGTTTCACTGGCAGTACGAGGCCTCTCCTCGAGGCCGGGGCTATTCCTACCATGTGTCATGCTGCAGCTGAAAGCAGCGATCCACTCGCCAAACGTCCGCGACATGAGGTGCGTAGTTGGTGTTCCTGAGCTCCGACAGTACGGCCGGGACTGATAAATACATTGCATTTAACGCGGAGCTTGTCAAATAAGGATTGTCGCGAATCGCGGCGATACCCAATTCCAGGTCACTGCCATCATCACTTGCCGATGTTGACCGCGACGATGGCGAGGACGACGATGTTGGCGACAGAGGCATGTCTACAGCTTTCAGAGGCACAGCTGGACTGACTGTACGTGCGCTCATAGCAGACGAAACGCCAGTGTGACGTCACCATTTTTTGTGAAAGTGGCATCGGCGGTGCAGCGGCCTCGACTTGGCCTCGAGGTAGCGCAGCCAGCACTAGAATTTGGCGGGCTTTCCACCCATTTTGAACCGCGTTCGATAGCGAATATATTAATCAATATTACAGATACTCATTCGTCACTCAAATGCGTTTTAGGTCGCGAGTCGCTACTAGGGGGTCAATAGCTACTCGTTAACGCAAAAATCTTGACATGAGTGAATTTGATGTCAGTGCTCCTTTAATATTTGTAGAGACAATGTCCATCATCTAAAACAATACTGCAGCCACCGCATTCGTCAAGAAGAGCGCTAAAACATGATCGAGGATGGGTTCAGGGGAAGATTTGCAGTCTCTTTAATGTTATATGCGGCAAATTATCAATAAATATTTGAAAATTAGGACAAGAAAAAACTAGGAATAAGGGTTAATGAATAGTATGTTAGTTGTTCTTGAGTTTCCCGGATGATATCGGACTTTTGAGCAAGAACGGCGACTAATCAACGAAAAAGTACTAGTGATGTAAACTAAAGGAACGTCAAAGCCGGAATAAAGATGAACATGCACAAAAAAAAAGATAATGTTAGTTGGCGTGGCACAGAAAAAAATAACGAGATTAAGAGTGGGAACTGAATTATATAGGAGCACGTATGTACGTGGGATAATTAGCAACAGAGGAGTCAACTCCTTCCGCATGTTTATCAAGGTCACCAAAGGTGGGTTTGGTTCGCAAACGTTAGGTAATTGTAAGACATGGCTGACAATCAAATCACCGCTAAAATCTAAGCGGAAATTCTAAGTACTTAGCGGTAGCTTACGAGCCAGAAATTAAATAAATTACTGCACATGACCTAAAACATTGTCAGTGGTACCACAAAATTCTATTCACTGTGCATCTAAGCAAAGTAAACACCCACGCGCGCATTACCGGTCTCAAGGTAATAAGCAACGGGAAGGAACCGTTGATGATTGATATGTGGGGTTTAACGTCCCAAAACCACCATATGATTATATGATTATGAGAGACGCCGTAGTGGAGGGCTCCGGAAATTTAGACCACCTGGGGTTCTTTAACGTGCGCCCAAATCTGAGCACACGGGCCTACAACATTTCCGTCTCCATCGGAAATGCAGACGCCACAGCCGGGATTTGAACCCGCGACCTGCGGGTCAGCAGCCGAGTACCTTAGCCACTAGACCACCGTGGCGGGGGCGGGAAGGAACCGTGTATCAAAACATATGACGAATAAATGCACAATGGTGAGATAATACACGAGAGAAGATGGCCAATAAAAAACATGCGATAATGAGAACAAGAATCTGACTATGCAGACGTAACAGCAGTCAACCCGCTGAGTAGGGTGGACGGCGCAGCGCCTACCCGGTGATCGCTGCTGAAAACAGTCCCTGAATCTTGCCAGGTATTGCCCCCCTCCCCCTGACCCATCGGGCTGAAGTGACTTTGAAAGAAATTGGAAAGAATAAGTGCGACGTCGTTACTGTGTGTCTCTATAAAGGACACCTCCACAACACCGCGCAAGGGATGGCAGAATGGGAATGAAAAAGACAGGAAGAAAAAATCGGCAGACCTCGTGTACCTGGGACTCGACGCTATGCGAAGCATGCGGAGGGAATGTGACCGTGTTACAATTTGTTTATTGAGTGACACGTCATGAAATGACTCTATATATATGTGCAAATGTTGTGCACGCACAGACATATGTTGAAGAGTTGCAAATATTTACATAACCAGTTGTATGCACTTGCGCAACGATGCCAAATGGAACATGCGTATTAGCGACACAAGAAGCTTATATGAAGCGCTGATGCTCGCGAGGACGCTGGCCCTGGACACTGCAAGATAAATCAACTTCAGCGCATGGCAGCTAACCACAATTGACGTTAACTAGACGTGACGGAAAACAAGGAGTACATATGTAATGTTTACAAAATTGGATAAGCAGCACTGCAACCACTATTGACGTTTCACGAAGATTGGCGTCTATTTGAAAAGTAGTTCCGAGACCTGGCGTAGCTCTGTGGTAAAATGCGTCATTGCCACGCAAAATGCTTGGGTTCGATTCCAGCTGGGACTCTGACATTTATTATTTGCATTCGTCGGGTCGACGCTACCGATGCCGGGTATTTCTTAACGCTCGCGCGTTAAAATTGCCCATGTGTGTTCTCGTCCTTCCTGAAAAGATACCGTATGTAAATCACTTGTGGCACATACCCGCATACCAGCGGCACATACCTGCCCGTGGGTATGTGCCACTGTCTGGCGGGAAGTGTTTGACGACATGCGCGACGGGATTGTGACATAATTGATGTCTTGACCAGCGTGTAGTATTCGTCAAACCATCTTACCCTCCCATGCTAATTTTGGTTCACGCCAAGTTAAGGGGGTGATTGACTACGAGATCCCCAAAACGTAAGCGGCTAGATAGATAGATAGATAGATAGATAGATAGATAGATACGCTCAAAGTCGCTGAAGTTCGCTAAGAAATGCTTCGCATTTAAAAACTCCTAGCTTTACCGCGAAGGTGAAGCAATCAACGCGAAAGCAAGCAGATCAAAACGTGCCCCGCGTTTCTCACGCACAAATGACGCACGAAACGTACTCACAGGTACAAATTAGCGCGAATAAGCGTCTCAGTTGTTACTTCGCTGTGTCTGAAAAGCGCGCCCGTTCAGTAAATGGCGGCTATGCAACGGTTGCAGTGACCTTTGTGCGACCGTTAACTACAACAGAATCATTCCGACGAAACTCAAAAGCTAGCCAAGACGTACGATTGGGGGGGGGGGGGGGGACTCGCTCTGTGCATGACGCACGAAACGTACTCACAGGTACAAATTAGCGCGAATAAGCGTCTCAGTTGTTACTTCACTGTGGCTGAAAAGCCCGCCCTTTTAGTAAATGGAGGCTATGCAACGGTTGCAGTGACCTTTGTGCGCCCGTTAACTACAACAGAATCATTCCGACGAAACTCAAAAGCTAGCCAAGACGTACGATTGGTGGGGAGGGGGGGGACTCGCTCTGTGCTCTGCAGCACCTAGAGGTGTGCGCCGAGGCGGTTTCGACCGGCGGCGGCGTGAGGGTCGTTCCGAGTCGGCGGCGGCGGCGCACGCAGGGCAAAATGATCGGCGGCGGCGCACGGCAGCGGCGCCGGCGACGTGAAAACTAAAACAACAATTAAAAAAAGGATACTTTACCGAGTCTTCTCTGCTTATTTAGCTGAAATTCAGTACTCTTAAGAGTAATGCCTGAG